CGACGAGACATTTCCAAAAAGTGATAAAAAGTGATAAAAAGTGAAGAAAGAGGGGGTTTTTCCACGAAGATCCCCAAGGAAGCTTCCCGAGGATTGGTCGCTGAGTGGCAACCAAAAATGCCTCCAGTTATCGAAAAACCAAAAGGAAAAAAAAATGAGAAGAAGAGAAGAGACGGAGGGCGAAGAAAGGGAAGTACAAGGACTCACTAGAACGTAAAAGAAAGTTTTTCTTGAAACTTGAAGCGACTCCTTCCTCCAGAATGTTCAGAAGTAAGGATGGGTCTGCTGGCCTTAAGACTCCGGTGAAAGATTGGACAATAGACAACGAAAGGAAAGGGATCTCCGACGAGGTTTCAGGCAAGGGCTCTCTGAAGAAATCCGAAATGGCAAAGAGAGAGAGGGAGAGAGAAGCCCACTTATATAGTACTCATCCCCATCATTTGGTCACGAAGCACGAAGAGGCGCATTTAATGAGCACGACCTCCGAAGAAGGGGAAAGCGGCTGAAGGCAATGATGAAGTAATTGGGGTAGTTGCAGAACCCTTCGTCTCCTTACGATGCGTGTCCTCTGTGTCAGGAGATCGAAGGCTGGGGGGCAGTTGATGGGACATTTTCAAATACTCCAAGATGAAGACACGTGTCCTTGGCATCAATAAATTCTTGTTACTATAATCACGACACGTACCCGTCGGATCATAAGTCCCTGTTCCCCCGAGGTACTGTTCATAGGGATCAATGACACCCAGTACGTTACGTACCGACACGTATCCCTCGGTCGGATATGAGTACATCGGTCCCTACATGTACCACTCCCCTCGGTACTGAGATGTACCCGTCCAGGATGGCGTTCTCTGCTCCTGCAGAGGCTATTGATGTACAGGTCACTAGCCTAGGCTAGGTTAGGTTAGTCATCATGACCTCGTCTTACACAATTGGGGTCAGAAGGCACGAAAAGGCAAAAGACACAACCAGTGGGGAATAGGCGCGTGACATATTGTGCCACATCAGAGACAAAAAGACCAGATGCCCTTGCTGACACACGAATTAGGAAAGCAAGCATTTAATTACACCATTCCCTTGATGAGACAGCATTTAATGCGGTAAGGCTCGGAAGTGAAAGGTAATAAATGTCCCTAAGACTGAACATTTATTACATCATTGTCGAGAGGAGCTCATTAAACAGTCGGCAGGCCGATGACACAGCCTTGGTTGCTCAGGATCCTGAGCAGTTAAAAGAGAAGACATTCCTCATAGGAATCAGTGCGCACGTTGCCCGTATCTAATGATCACCTACTGATCACACTGACAGCAATAATGAGTTTTTGAGGTATAAATACTCCTCACAAAAGGCAAGACGGTATGCAACGAAAAACCTTTTCTCAAACCTATGCTTAGTGTTTTCTTTTTCCCCTCTCTTAAAAATTGACTTGATCGTCGGAGGGGATACGCCGAAAAACACTCCGGCGCCCTTCTAACTTGTCTTTCTCTGTTTCAGGAACCTCCCTCAGCCTTACTGGACCGCTCCCTTAATCCATGAAAGTCATTCATTACCATTCCAGGCCACCAACGGATCTCAGCCTGTTCCAAATAGCAAGGTTGACCATTTGATTGACTGACTCGAGTTCACTACGGGAGAGATCTGTTCTCGTGTTTATATTGTGCAAGATCTTGCATGCACACTTATCTTCATGCAACATGGTTTTTTAGAGCATCTCCTCCACATTGTAAACAAAAATTTAATTTGATATTAAGCATTCCAACGAAGAAACTCAAAGTTAAAAGATGATTATCAGGGCGTCCCAATGTCAACAAGAGTCACAAGCAAAAACTTCACGAGTACTATTAATATTTCGTGTCAACCATCCCGTCATTTGTAACCTTAGGAAGGTATTGAGTAAGGGANTGTCAACAAGAGTCATAGGCAAAAACTTCACGAGTACTATTAATATTTCGTGTCAACCATCCCGTCATTTGTAACCTTAGGAAGGTATTGAGTAAGGGATGACCTTCTAATAATGCGTCTATCCTGTCATTCCCGACTTTAGGAAGGAATGGAGTATTTAGAAAGAATGAGATAAGGGCTATATATATATGTACTAGTTATTGTCCATGCCTGAAGGTATTATGGTACTTATAAAATTTCAATGCACAAAGATAGGATGTTTGAATAATTTCAACGAATAGCGATTAGATTGGTTTTGAACATTTTTTGTTGGTGCAATTGATATCTTATTTTTTTCGTATTGGTCACTTATTCTTTTTTAATTGCTGATTAACTTGGGTTTTGATTTTTTATTTTATTTTCTGATAACTATAGGTTTTTATACAGATTTATTTTTAGTATGAATAATAACTTGATGATTTTATTTATGGATTATAAAAATAATTTAAACTTTATTGATTGATAAGAAGGAAGAAGTAAACATCAATCATCGGTACTAAAATGCGTGATAAGAAGATCTACTTATAGTATACTCTAGGTATGAATCAGTTTGTAGTAAGAATGATGAAAAATTATATAGTAAATATATAATGATNATTTTATTTATGGATTATAAAAATAATTTAAACTTTATTGATTGATAAGAAGGAAGAATTAAACATCAATCATCGGTACTAAAATGCGTGATAAGAAGATCTACTTATAGTGTACTCTAGATATGAATCAGTTTGTAGTAAGAATGATGAAAAATTATATAGTAAATATATAATGATTTTTAATGAAATATTATACCAAAAGTTTTGAAAAAATCGATATACTAAATAATTTACATGTCCAAAAATAGTGACATTGTTCATTTGGGTACTGGTTTTTGTATTGTAGTGACGGAGTGTATGCAATTATTGGGGTCAAATATTAAATTGTCAAACTTTGAAAAAAAAACACTAAACTTAGAGATATTATGTATTTTATGTGTGTTTAATATAAATATTTTTAATTTTATACAAAGTTTTATCGTAAAATTAAAAATTAAACAAAACCAACTTAAATCAAGGTACAAACAATACACTTTTAACATATAACATTTAGATCATTTAATTTAAAATAAATTCAATCTGAGTTGTTATTGTGCTTTTTCAAATTTAAGATAAAAACGTATGAGAGATAGGAGTGTAGAGTCTTACGATAAGAGGCTTCTTCACTGGCGAAAAAATAAATTCAAGATTAACTGTAGACCGTTAGATTAAAATTTTTGAGATGATCTGAACTGTCTTTTATGTTGGGATTACGTTGTTCGTTAGATGTGTTTATGTTTTATCTCCTATATATTTTTCCACATCACCTATTTCTATCATATGTTCAATCATTTAATATTTGATTAATTTATAGTTTAACATAATTTTTATTTTAGATATTATTCATATACAATAATATACATATGTTGAATTTTTTTTATCAAATTACGTATTTTGATAAAATTTAGTCAATATTTTTTTGATTTTGAATGATATAATCAAATAAATAAAGGAACAAAAAATTATTATTTAATCTAGTGAGATCAATTTTTTTTGGCTCGAATTTTATGTTTCGTCGTGCTTTCAAGTACGGGTGATGACTAGTATATATATATATATATATATATTATTTGTAATTGTCATAATTTAACTTTTTATTTATTTAAAAATTATTTTCCTTGCATTTTGAGATGAAAAAATATATTGATCAAATTCTTAGTTAATAAATATTTCTCAATAGATAATATAATTAATACATTTAATTTTTCTTGTGACATAGTTGACCGTAAATAAGATTTTATCAATTGAAGTTTTGAAAAACTTTTTTTTTGCGTATATGATTTTTACTAGTATTGTTAACAAAATTCTATAAGTAATGTTTGCATTCAAAAAATAACTTATTCTTTTTATGTAGTTTAATATGTCAATTAGAGTGTTGGTTTCAATTTTTAAAATATCTTTGAGAGATAGAGGTGTGAGTTAGAGTTTTTTTTGGGATAGATATAAAATTCTTATATTTATAATATAGTTCATGTTTTAAGGATTTTATTGGGTTTAACCAAATGAAAAATAATTTTTAGCTTAACAAAGTTAGACATTAATCTAACCCCTTAAAATTTGAGTCTTATCTAAAACTCAAAATAAGAAAAAAAAATAAAATTGTATCTAATATATTTAAGGGCTAAAGTTTTTAGGGCCCTTCTAAAAGTGGGGCCCTAGATAGCCACCTTAGTGGTCTACGCCTAGAGTCAATCCTACTAATAATCTTAGATTTAAATGAGGATAAACATAAATTTAAAGGACGATAAAATATAATTATTAGATAGTTAAAAGAGAATAACATCTAATCATTTTGCAATTTGAGTAAATACTTAAGTCTCATTTTATTTGATATGACTTTGAGTATAACATTGAAGAAAATTTTTAGAGATTTTTTTAAAAAAAAATTTAAATATGAGTTTTAAAAAGATTTGGGGTGGAGATGTAATTATTGTAAAGTTTTTGAAGGGTAAATTGCACCAATGTTATTTAAGGTTAGTCAATTATTACGCTTAATTGTGTAAGTTGAGTCGGTTGATATTTGAGAGTCGTAGAGAAAAATGACATTTTTCAGTATAAAAAAATTATAAATTATGAATTTTGTATTATTTGATTAAAATAAATAAAAATTTAATAAATCTTGACTGTTATTTGTGTTTTTGTAAATTTAAAATTCAATTTCTAGCCGCATAATAATAGATTAACTAAAAAAATTAAAATGAAAAATAAATTTAAGGGAAGACCCGAATCTAATCGTTATACACGTGGCAACCTCTTGTGCAATCAATTCTCTTTCGGAAGATGCATAATGTTAAACCCTAAAACAACCCGCCGACTCTATTTTTGCTGCTATAAACCCTACACTCCGATCATCTTCGGCAGGCCTAATGCAACCTTTTTGGCCGCTCTGAGAAACAAAGCAGAGAACAGTAAAAGATAGAATGGGGATACCTTCATTCTACCGTTGGTTGGTAGAGAGATACCCACTCTCAGTCGTCGGAGTAATGGAGGAAACTCCGGCCATCGTCAATGGCGTTAAGGTCCCAATTGACACGAGCCAACGAAACCCTAATGGCATCGAATTCGACAACCTCTATCTTGATTTGAATGGAATTATTCATCCATGTTTCCATCCAGAAGGCCTGGTATACATAATCAATCGTTGTATACGAATGATTTTGATTCTTTGTTTTGTGCCATATAGTTGGTAAAATAACTGCATTTAGAGTCTTAGACGAATATGTTTATCTGCAGCCTCCTCCGGCGACGTATGATGAGGTATTCAAGGCGGTGTGCAAGTATATTGATAGAATCTTCTCAATCGTTAGACCTCGGAAACTTCTATACTTGGCAATTGGTTAGTGATCAATCAATCGTAGAGTATTCAAGCAATTTATTATTTTATGTTTTAATTTTTCTGTCTGCAGCAAAAATGGAAGATTCAAGCAAGGTTCCTGGTGGTTTTAAAAGCATATTGTTTTCAGTTTAGTTAGATGTTTGAAGTTCTTGATGAAACGAACATGCTTTTTGATACGAAGGCCAGATTTGCGAGGGAAAATTTATGCTTAGAAACTAACCGAGAACTGTCGTCTTGTTTGAAATTGTAAATGATTTATTTTTCATGATTTCAAAGTGTTACACCGTGTACAGATGGTGTTGCACCACGTGCTAAGATGAATCAGCAGCGTGCAAGGCGTTTCAGAGCTGCTAAAGATGCAGCTGATGAAGTAAGTGTATTAAACTTGTATGTTTTCGATATACAGTTTGATTACTGTACCTTCTCTCTTTAGTTTTGGAAAAGTTGTAATTTGATTACTGTTAGGCCTCTGTAAAAGAGAGGTTCAGAGGGCTCCGTAGATTGGAAGGGGAAATCTTAGCTACCCAAAAGCTGGATTCAAATGTTATTACACCTGGAACTGAATTCATGGCGTTGTTGTCTTTGGCTCTTCGTTACTTCGTACACATGAGAATGAACAAGGATCCTGGATGGCGGGGAATCAAGGTAAAATTGTAACTTCTGAGGCACTGACTCTAATGCTGTCTGTTAAGGTCCATAGAAGACTCACCGATGTGATTACATGGGGATCTTGCTAGGTTATTCTTTCTGATGCCAGTGTACCTGGTGAGGGGGAGCATAAGATAATGTCTTACATCCGATTGCAAAGAAATCTACCTGGATATGATCCAAACACAAGACATTGTTTGTATGGATTGGTACATGGCATTCTTTTTATCCATATAAATTAGCTACATTGCAGATGGTAATCAGCTTTATATTGTGCTATAACCATATACTATATTTTTCTTTTAGGATGCAGACTTAATCATGCTTGCATTGGCTTCCCATGAAATCCACTTCTCAATATTAAGAGAGGTCTGTCTATTTGTAAATTTTACCGGTCTTCTCTCTGTTTTAGTTTTATTTGCTGTGTGTCGTAAAGTCGTAAACAGTATTATTTAGAAGTAACTGCAAGGTTTTTTTTGTTTGTCTTTCATGATGTAGGATGTCCGCAAGGAACTAACAAATCATAGAAATTCAAAACAAAATATGTGGAAAACAAGGGGTGTGTTAGGGCAAGGGAAATTTTGTATCAAGAATGTAGAGGACTTCATCGTAAGGCAAAAGTTTCAGGTTGGCTTTTTTTCTTCTCTTCTTTATGCAATAATCACTTTCATTGGTTTCCTCGCAAATTGCATGATTTCATCTTGTGCAAGGATGCTGAACTCAACCAATATGATGTGGAAATAAAGCACCGCTAAAAGAAGCTTACCTCTCATGTAGTCATGTAAGATCAAAACTTTAAAGCTAAGAATAGTACTGCCAACTATTGATTCAGTGGTGAACTCTCTCTGTGAAATGTTTGAAGATGTAAGGGAGATTATAGGGTTCATGAAATGAAAGTTGTGGTATTGTCTTGGTTTTAGAAGTGATAAGTCTCCATGTTTCTGTGAAATGTTTGAAGATATAGAAAAGAGGTTATAGGATTCGTGAAATGGAAGTTTTGGTGTTGTCTTGATTTTAGAACTGATAGGTCTACATGTTTTCTTTACCATTTCAAAACTGTTCCCTAGTTATGACTGATCAATGCATGTACGACTGCACTGACATTTGATGATGCCCTGCTTAGGAGGATATGTTGGATCTACATAAGGCTGATACAAGATATGCAAGTTGATAGATACACAAAATAGTTGTTTGGGGTGTCATTATCGAGATATTGCACTATTCTATTTTGTAAATCAATAGCATTCAATGTAAGACAGATGCAAATGGTCTTTATCTTATATTGCTGCTGTGATCTATTGACAATTTTTCAACTGCTTTGTAATTTTCTTACTCTCTCTCCCTCTCTCTCAGTTTCTCAACATATGGGTACTCAGGGACTACCTAGCACATGACCTACTGATACGAGATCCAGCTGTGAAACCAGATTTTGAGCGTTTGATAGATGACTTTGTCTTCATGTGTTTATTTGTTGGAAATGACTTTCTACCCCATGTGCCATCGCTGGAGATATCGGAGGTGGGCATGTATAAAATGCTAATATATCTCTCAAGAAAGTGATTTTTGGGGTAATTCTACTTAGTTTTTGTACTGCTTAGTTTTGTTTTGCCTTATGATAGTTTTCTTCTAGGGTGCTATAGACTTACTCATGCTTGTCTACAAAAAGGAATTTGTTCAAATGGGTGGTTATCTGACTAACTCTTTTGAGGTATGTGACCAAAATTCTCTCATTCATGCTCTTTCATCTCCTCATTTTGTTTTCGTTCCAATGTTGAAAACTTATTTCCCATGTTTTGATTGTGCTGGACTCTTGGAACTTCGAAGTATTAGGGTAACGTGTTTGTCAGTTACTTTATCTACTCATGGAGCAGTACAAAACTCTTCTAATCTATTTCACATACCTTTTCTCCAAAATTTGGACCTGGTAACCTAAATCTTTATCTGCCATTGGAGTTTCATCTTTGGGCTGTTTAAGATTTAAACAGATTTCTTGGTGGACAAGCTAGAGTTAATAAGAAATTTGCTTCTGCTAAAGATAAACTTGAGCAAGCAGCCTTATTCGAATAGCAGTCAGAGACGTATGTCAAACTATGGACAATTCTTAGACAATCTTACATGGTTCAGTTTCAGTAAAATTGTAGGGTCAACCGCTTTATTCTAGCTTGGTTTGAGATGAGCTTGATTAGGGGCTAACTTGGGCTCTTTAGGGTGGGGGGATTAAAGCACCAAGCTCGAGATTGACAAGNAGAGTTAATAAGAAATTTGCTTCTGCTAAAGATAAACTTGAGCAAGCAGCCTTATTTGAATAGCAGTCAAAGACGTATGTCAAACTATGGACAATTCTTAGACAATCTTACATGGTTCAGTTTCAGTAAAATTGTAGGGTGAACCGCTTTATTCTAGCTTGGTTTTAGATGAGCTTGATTAGGGGCTAACTTGGGCTCTTTAGGGTGGGGGGATTAAAGCACCAAGCTCGAGATTGACATGATCAAACAAGCAACACTCGACATTAGTCTGTCTATACTTGGGTAGAGGCTCATTTAAAATCTCTTGCTGAGTAACTAATCAAAAGCTTATTCTTACTTTGGAGCTTACTTAGTTTTCAGTTCAGGCTCTCTGCCATGATAAGCTCATGACCGGCCTGAGATTAGATTGAGATTGGTTCGACTTGAAGCTCATTCAAGATTACCCATGGATGGTGGGCTACCTTTGATCCTAGTTTGAAGCTTGTTCCATTCTTTCACTTATAAGATGTGAGAATATCAAATGTGGGTTTCCAACTTGCTAGGGGAACTTCTTCATGCACTGAGCAGATGATCATAGATAAAACATCTCCCTGTCATTTGTATTTTTCAGTGGCCTTTTACAAACAGATTACTTACTCGAACACTTANAATATCAAATGTGGGTTTCCAACTTGCTAGGGGAACTTCTTCATGCACTGAGCAGAGGATCATAGATAAAACATCTCCCTGTCATTTGTATTTTTCAGTGGCCTTTTACAAACAGATTACTTACTCGAACACTTATAAACATTCCGTTTGGCCTCTTTTGTAACTATTTGTTTAATGCATATAGGCTACATGACATACCATTAAATAACTCCTGCTGGGCTACAATTAGGACTGTACATCCTGAATGTCATTAAAATATTGTGATGCTGTCAAAGCTATACAAGACTATTTTAGACCACACTATCCTCGTATGAACTTGTATTCTTGATATAAATTGCCTTCTTCTCTGGCCAGGAGCCTGGGAATTATTTGCATATGGAAGTTCCCCATTGCTTATTATTTTTCTCTGTTTGAAATCTTGGAATGTAAAGGGTGTATTTTTAATATTAGCGTGTTTATGTTTCTAGCGATAATTTTCCCTAGTTTATTTAATTTCTAGGTAAATTTAGAATGTGTGGAGAAGTTTGTACAAGCTGTGGGTTCCTATGAGAATGCTGTCTTCAGAAAACGGTGCCAGGTTTTATCTACAACTCCATAATGTTGTTCTGCTTGGATGTCCCGTGAATAATTGGTTTTTATGCACTACCCTTCCTCCTCTCCCCCTCCTGTTCAAATAGCAAGAAAGAAAGACAAAGAAAATTCTATTGATTTGCCTGTTTGCAAGTCCTAGCGTACCTTGACAACTTTCTGTGCTTAGGATTTTTTGGCTTCTGAGATTAGAGTTTTATGTATATATTTGGAGTTTTTTGTTGTACTTCTTGTAGCAACAATCAGAGTGCAGTGAACCATTTTTTGGAGAAATGGCTGGAAATCAGTATTCATATGGTTTAAAATTGCACAACATATTTGATGGGGCGTCTCACACTTTCATTTTAGCTTTTTTGAATTTGAGATGCAATTACATTGTCAAGTGTTTCAGTTGTTAAATCATAGTGGACTGACTTGTATTATCAGCATTTGAAGAATATAGTGCACTGTTATTGAAGCTAACTCCAAAAATGTTGAGATAAGATCTTGTTGAGTTGAGTTGTCTGTTGTTATTGAAAATTAAGCAACAAAACTATTGACGCACAAAATTTATGTGTAATTCATTTAGTAGCTGTATTCCTTCTAGAATATCACGTAATGATGATGAGTGCAAATGTGGCCACTGGCATCATCCCACCCGTCGTAGATGTATCAAACCTTAATCCTCTGGCCCACTTCTCTTTCCTATAACAGTAGTTAAAGATGACGTCATTACAGATATTGGAATCTTATATGACAGTGTCATTTACTCAGGTAAAAAATGAAAGGGAATTTCGCTTCCGAGGTTCTACAGCCAATGTAAGTATAATGTATTCACATTTTCAAGTTGGGATTTCTGATTCTGGATGGAAGCTGCATCCCATTGATTGAAAATGCTCATTCTATGATTGCCTCTGAATCAGGGTGTTCATAAGCGGATTCAGAGCTCAACCAGTCATACTTCTGATGATACAAATTCTGCCAATGACAAGGTTGCTTAACCTTGTGTTTCTGCATAGATCTTACCCGAAATGTATTGTTTATTATTTTCCAACTCCTGAGATCTTGAATTCAAGTCTTGGTTGTCAGATTAAGCTGGGTGAAGAGGGTTGGAAGGAAAGATACTATACCGAAAAGTTTGTGGTTGAAACTGACGATGACCGTGCGAGAGTTCAGAGTTGTGCGGTAAGGAAATTGAACTATTTTAGGTGTTCGGCTNCCTGAGATCTTGAATTCAAGTCTTGGTTGTCAGATTAAGCTGGGTGAAGAGGGTTGGAAGGAAAGATACTATACCGAAAAGTTTGTGGTTGAAACTGACGATGACCGTGTGAGAGTTCAGAGTTGTGCGGTAAGGAAATTGAACTATTTTAGGTGTTCGGTTACCTCTATGGACCTTAGGGTTATATAGCTTGACCTTGTTTTCATCATATTATTACCTTGAAGTTGCCAATGGGCTCAGTTTGATAAAAGTTTTGCATTACCTGCTATGTATCTTGGGTGAGGATCATTTGTTTTTTGCATTTTTTTCCATATTTAATCACTCTGACCTCGNATCATATTATTACCTTGAAGTTGCCAATGGGCTCAGTTTGATAAAAGTTTTGCATTTCCTGCTATGTATCTTGGGTGAGGATAATTTGTTTTTTGCATTTTTTTTCCATATTTAATCACTCTGACCTCGGGGAAGAGCATTACTCCTGTTAAATTTTCCTCCTTCCTGTTTTGTTTCCTCGTTGTATCAGCTTCCACTTGAAATCTGATGGGCTACCTTTCTTGAATCCATGAATTTGAAGTAGTACTTTTCTTTCAGTTATCTCCTTGTCGTGTTTGCTTCATTGACTGTTGTAATTGGTGTAGGTCTTGAAATACATCGAAGGAATTTGTTGGGTTATGCATTATTATTACCAAGGGGTATGTTCATGGCAGTGGTATGTGCTACAGTCTCCCATTTTTTATCAATTCATGTATTTCCATGCTACCTTACTATGTTTGTTTAATACCTTATCCGCAAAAGGTATCCCTAATATGTATGTGATTTAAACTTGTTGACATTGCCACTTGGGCTTCAGTCATTGGATTGCAGACAAGTGACATAGGGAGGGAGAGCAGTATTGTAAAATAAAGACTTCGTGAAGATTGGTCATTTTGATTTTGTGACATCATTGAAATCTTCTGATACGTTGTTCATTTGTTTGACTATTTACCCAAAAGTTTTCCGAGTCACTTAGGAAATTGCTGTGTTTGGAGGGAGAACTTAGAATTAAGGAATGATGTGAAATCAAGAAAATGGCTATGATTCAAAGGATATATATATTTGAACGCAGAACGGTTTATGTATGCTGCTGCAACCCTTGAGAGGCAGCTGCTTAGGGCCCCCAATTTAGAAGGGCCCCATAATATGTATAAAATGGTACATGTAATCTGACCCAAAATGAAAAAAGCCAAATAGAATAGGATAAGTAGGCTCAAAATAAATTTTTAGAAAATATAATTGGACACCCTCATCTCTCTTCATTAATGCCTCTGCCAACTACTATCCCCCCCCCCTCCTCTCTCTCTCTCCATTTAATGACCCTTTAAGTTGTCGACATTTGCATAATTAAAGAAACATAATGACATTATTCACCCAAAATAACTTTAACTAACCCAATTGTTCTATTCTTACTAAATTATGAAATAAATTAAATTTCTATCTTATTATAGTTATTTATTGATTTGTAATTTATTTTTTAAATATTTTTAAGTTTGGATATGTTCATTCGAAAGTATAAATCACAGTATGAAAGGCATAAAAAAGAGAGAGTGAATGATTAATTCAATCCAACAAGGGAGAGTCATTGATATATTTATTACCACTAAACAGAAAAATATGACAATAACTTGAATCGAAGATTTAGCGGTTGAACAATCCATCACTTTTAACACTAACAAATAACGAAACAATTGTACAAAAATATTATAATGAGTGTCAAGCAATTTAAAAGTGAAACAAATAAAGATGAAGATGTTAAAAAAACATAGTGGATCATATTGTGGTAAATATTTATGTTTCAGGACAGGAAGCGAGACAAATATTTTTGAATAAAATTATTTATAAATTACTTTAGTACTTATAGTAAACTTTTGAGAGTCATATTTAAAAACATTTAAATATTTGTGGGGAGTCCAACTAGCTCACTTTATGGGGAATGCACCTTGTAGTTGATTGCTTGAACTTTTTGATGTAGATCGTAGTAGGAAAGAATTAGGGATGAGAAGAGAAGAAGAACGAGATGAGAAAAAGAAGAAAAAGATGAGAAAAGAGAAAGAATTTGAGAAGGATGCAATATCAGTATGCAATAATAATCAAAGTCTAATGTAAATAAAATCCTTAAATGCATCCTTTTATATAGGAAAACTAAAATCCTAAAACAAATAAATAATGACAAATAAATCTCAAAAGTTAGAAAATATTTAAACGATAAATACTAAAAGTATTTAAATAACTATTATAATTAATCTATAATATCTATCAAATTCCTACACGATCCCCATCATTCTCTTCCGGTTGAGAAAAACTCTTTTCCGGAGAGTCTTCAAAATAAAAGTACCCTAATAGAGCAGCATGAAGATGACAAAACGCCTCATCTAGAATGAAAGAACCATCAACATCTTTCCATCGATCAGAATAGATGCAAGAATTTNAAATAAAAGTACCCTAATAGAGCAGCATGAAGATGACAAAACGCCTCATCTAGAATAAAAGAATCATCAACATCTTTCCATCGATTAGAATAGATGCAAGAATCTCCATTTGTAGAAATACTAGATAACAAGATAGGAGGTTCTGGAGTACGTCGATTAAGTAGCATGTCCTCCAAATAAAAATTTGGACTAATACTAACATTTAATGAAAAATTAACCAAATAAGCAATAAATCCAAGTTCAAGAATAGGAAAATAATTCCCATCAGACTTAAACAACAAGCATTCAGTAGGACAATACTTCAATGATAAAGGAGTAACAATAACGNGTTCAAGAATAGGAAAATAATTCCCATCAGACTTAAACAACAAGCATTCAGTAGGACAAGACTTCAATGATAAAGGAGTAACAATAACGCCTTAGTGTTGAAAATAATTAAGTACAAACTCAAGTGAACACTTGGCAGTAGGCAAAGGAATAAAGTCAACAATTTTAGATTGGAAAGAATTTGTAACAAAGTCATGATGACTTGGACAAATAGACACAAAATAGTCACTAATAGATTCTGCAATAAATGACTTGATTGTCTTAATATCTTGCATTGGTGTAGAGTTAACAGACTTTTTCACAATTTTTAAGACCAATGATGGTTCAAGAATTGACACAAAGTAAAGACTCACATNTTGATTGTCTTAATATCTTGCATTGGTGTAGAGTTAACAGACTTTTTCACAATTTTCAAGACCAATGATGGTTCAAGAATTGACACAAAGTAAAGACTCACATTTTTTTTTTTAATATGAACTCATGTGGGTGCAAAGGAGGAGGACTGGTCGAATGAAACTGAATGAGGGAGTTGAAAGTCAATATGAGTAACATTTTTCTCTTTATCCGATACTAGCATATCTAAATCCTTTGTCACATTCGGATTAGGAAAGCATGCAGAAACAACATGGATATCGTTCAAGTAATTATGATACTCATATGTGATGAAATTAAAATCGGAAGGTATCCTGTCACACTGTTTAGTAGATTGTGATTGAAAACCCATCAAACTATAGTTGGATTTCTTATGAAATCTCTCAACCTTTAAAGCATATTGATAGGCTGCCAGTAATGTATTAAAAGTATATTACTTGACCTCCTTACTAATTTTTTGTCTCTACCCAAAAAGAAACTGGTCAATTGTCCAAGGTTCATTAACAATGTCACACAAGTACATGAGATCATCGAACTGGGTAAAGTAATCAGAGACACTAGAAGAATGATGTCTAAGATTGAGCCATTGGTCATAAACTTGATCCATTTAGGAAGTAGGTAAATACTTCTCTTTCAATTTATATCTCATTTCAACTTAAGTGATAGGTAATTCTCTTAAAGGGTCTAGGCTTCTTTGGATTGCTTGCCAATGTTGTTTGGCAGAAGACTCCAACATCAATTTAGCAAAATGTATGCAATGGGAATCCGACATTCCATGCNTCAGAGACACTAGAAGAATGATGTCTAAGATTGAGCCATTGGTCATAAACTTGATCCATTTAGGAAGTAGGTAAATACTTCTCTTTCAATTTATATCTCATTTCAACTTAAGTGATAGGTGATTCTTTTAAAGGGTCTAGGCTTCTTTGGATTGCTTGCCAATGCTGTTTGGCAGAAGACTCCAACATCAATTTAGCAAAATGTATGCAATGGGAATCCGACATTCCATTCCAATCAAAATATGCTTCTAAATTAGCTAACCAATCCAAGAATTGATTGGGATTTGGAGTACCACAAAACATAGAAGGATCTTTAATTGACTTGGCCATATGTGTTGAATTCTTGTAGACATACCTAGACTTGCTACGATGATGACCTCGAGGAGGGACTTTTAAACTGGAATAAATATGTGGATTAAAGACATCATAGATACTCATGAGTGACTCTTGAAACAAGTGAATGACATCAAAACAAGTTCAAGAATGTAATTGACAAATAATTTGGACCTTTTGTAAATTTTTTAATTTTTCAATGAATAAAAATATCAATTTTAAATTTTTATAGGAGTATGCATACCATAATCCAACTTTTGCTTTAAGGAAATTCTGAAATTCAGAAACTTTATGGGGATGATTACACAATTTTTGGAACTTTTGGGGATTTTTTGCAATTTGGAACTTCTAGATTGTATTTTTAAAACTTCTANTATAGGAGTATGCATACCATAATCCAACTTTTGCTTTAAGGAAATTCTGAAATTCAAAAACTTTATGGGGATGATTACGCAATTTTTGGAACTTCTGGGGATTTTTTGCAATTTGGAACTTCTAGATTGTATTTTTAAAACTTCTAAGGGGTGATTCTGCAATTTCTGGAACTGCTGGGATAGTTCTTTTTTTTTTTTTTTCAGCGCGATGACAGTGCCGCGATGAACAGTGTGCGCGATGAATAATATTATTTATTTATTTTTTTTGTACAAATTGAAGTTGAGCTCTGATACCAAATTGATGTAGATCGTAATAGAGAAGAATTAGGGATGAGTANCAGTGCCTCGATGAACAGTGTGCGCGATGAATAATATTATTTATTTATTTTTTTTGTACAAATTGAAGTTGAGCTCTGATACCAAATTGATGTAGATCGTAGTAGAGAAGAATAAGGGATGAGAANAGTGCCGCGATGAACAGTGTGCGCGATGAATAATATTATTTATTTATTTTTTTTGTACAAATTGAAGTTGAGCTCTGATACCAAATTGATGTAGATCGTAATAGAGAAGAATTAGGGATGAGTAGGGAAGAAGAAGGGGATGAGAAAAAGAAGAAAGAAATGAGAAAAGAGAAAGAATTTGAGAAGGGAGTAATATCAGTATTCAATAATAATCAAAGTCTAACCTAAATAAAATCCTTACATGCATTCTTTTATATAGGGAAACTAAAACTCTAAAACAAATAAATAATGACAAATAAATCCTCAAAAGTTAAAAGAAAATACTTAAAAGATAAATACTAAAAGTATCTAAATAACTATCATAATTAATCTATAATATCTATTCAATTCTTACACGATCTCCGTCACTTTTACAATGGACAATTGTTTGGGCTTGTAAGTGAAAGAAATCTTCTCCTGTTTTGTGTACAATATTCACTCATATGTCCCACAAGTCAGTCATTTATGTTTCTCTCACAAAGCACTTCGACTGAAATTATTCATACTTGTGTCCCAAAAAGGAAAAAAAGTTACTGGATGGCTGTCATGCTGTAATATATTTGATGATGTGTTTCTTGAATATGTGGAAACTTATGTTTGTATTTTTAATACAGTTGTGAAACTCGATTCATGTTTTTTACTCCTGCAGGTTTTATCCTTATCACTACGCTCCATGTGCTTCAGATTTCTCTGGCCTTAATCAGATGGAAATCTGCTTCACACTTGGAAAACCCTTCAAGCCATTTGATCAGTTAATGGGTGTCTTGCCTGCTGCAAGGTTTCTACATATTTTTGTTCACTGCTTGTTATTTATTGTGTTATTATTTCTCAGCACATAGCCCCATATGTAACTGGTGCACGTGTAGTGCACAGGCACTTCCTTTGTTTTACAGGAAATTGATGACAGAACCATTGTCACCTATTTTGGACTTCTATCCTACTGGTGGAGATGTTTTTTAAGAGTAACTTACTTTTTTCTTTAGTTAGTATTATTTCTTTTTATGATATGTGATTGAAACTGTTGCTGACAGATTTTGAGCTTGATATGAATGGACGACGGCATGCTTGGCAGGTATGTGGAAAGTTGATCATAAGCTTTCTAGGTGTTTTGAATCTGTATTGGCTGGCTATTTGGAAATCGTTGTTTATGTAGGAACACCTCTTCTTCGGTATAAGATGCTGGCTAATATCGTACTCCTTAATTTCATTCAGATTTTTCAGCTATTGTGTCCAGCTTATGCTTTCAGGCACCCGTGCATGTAGTGCTATTCTTGTGTCTCTTCCTTGCCATATCTTTTGGCACCTGATTGCTTAGTATTTGTCTTTCCAACTGTAAAATTCATCAAACACTTGTCCAAGGATCAAAATATCGTTTCGAAACGGTCAAAACATCCGAAACGTTTCCGTTTCCAATGAGACCGAAACGAATCAGTGATTAAATCGAAATTCTAATACTTCGAGGTGTTCTATAATGTTTCAAAATATTTTGTTATATTTCAATGCATTTGTACAATTATTTCGGAATGTTTCAAGGTATTTTAAGATATTTTGGTACATTTCGACCAATGTTTTGAAAAAATAATTATTAAATTTTTTATTTTTTTCATTCTACTTTTAAAATGGGTCGAAACATTTACGAAACACGTATAAACATTTTTGTTTCCTAAGTAATTGAAACAATGCACCGAAAAAAAATTTTGATCCACCGAAAGGAAATTTTGATCCCTGCACGTGCCCCATCTGTTTTGATTTGGCCACTGTTCTTAGGGCTTGCTTGCTTTGCTAATGTGTTTTTATATATGTGAAAAAGACAATTGCCAACTTCCTTCATCAATGAAAGGAATTATTATNCATTTACGAAACACGTATAAACATTTTTGTTTCCTAAGTAATTGAAACAATGCACCAAAAGGAAATTTTGATCCACCGAAAGGAAATTTTGATCCCTGCACTTGCCCCATCTGTTTTGATTTGGCCACTGTTCTTAGGGCTTGCTTGCTTTGCTAATGTGTTTTTATATATGTGAGAAAGACAATTGCCAACTTCCTTCATCAATGAAAGGAATTATTGTGGCCTCTAGAATGCCTCCGTTGCGTTATTTTTATGGCCATTAATTATACACACATTTGTTACCTTACTACTGCAATCAGTGTTCGCACATGGACATAACCAAGCCCATTTTGCTTAGATCTTTCAAATTTATTTGCTTTCACAATGACTCTTAGAGTCCTCCATATTCCTCTGTTCATTCTTTTTTTCTTTTTGTAGGCTCTCGAGTCTTGACTATAAGCTTTGTAAGTCCTACGATTCTCATTTAGGCACCTTTAATCCGTATTGCCTTGCTTAATGTAAAAGTGGAGGAAAAAACACTGCACTTCATAGTTTTCAAGGTGACACATAGTCCTTTTGGTGTATCTTTTGATTTTTGGATAAAGAAATTGGATATAAAGGAAGTGATGATCATTGAATACAAAACTACCTTGTTGGACATCTTAGGAGTTATTGAACAGAAAATTGGTTGTCAACTTATCATTATAATTGAACCAATAAATCACATGGATTTAGCAAATCAGGTTGAAAAGCGAAGCTATTGGAATTCTAATTGAGTTAAATTGTGAATTGATATCTTTCCTGGCGACGCCTGGGTCGACCCATCTCTTTGTGCAACCATTTGTCAAGAAAGCTTTGTTTTATTTCATTTTCCTCTGGTTTGTAGGCTGTTTGTAAATTACCATTTATCAAGGAGTGCCGCCTTCTTTCGGAGATTGCAAAAGTGGAGCATACATTGACGGTAATGATTGATGCTACAAATAGTATCTCATACTTGATCTCTACAAATTTCTCCTTTTCATGTATTTTTTTACGTAGTTCTGAATGGTATTGTTGTGTTTTAGGATGAAGAAAAGCAAAGAAACAGTTTGGGCCTGGATATTCTATTTCTTCACACTTCACATCCTTTAGCAATGAAGATCTTTTCTTTTTGCAAGCGAAATAGGGATCATCCAAAGTTGCTGAAGACTAAACTCAAACGGAAAATTAACCCTCAATTCAGGTGTGGTACCACAATGCAAAGAACTTGTCTAGTGGGATACTAGTTTTTGTTTTTAAATTTTGTTTCATGTCATGATCTAAGCTTTTTTCCAGGATGCTAAACGAGTTGGGCTACATATATGATATATGTAGATCATAGAGGAATAAGTCCTCATTTTATTTTATTTTATTTTTTGTGGGAGGGAAGGACGTTGGAAAATTGGTAAATAAATAGAAGTTGCATTTATTTTAGAGAAAACCTCTGCCAGATTCTGTTTTTAGCCGCAGATAGGAAAGTAGTTGGTTTCTGTTCCTATTATTGGTGTAACCCAGAACTTGGACTCACTAATTTTTTGGCATAGGTGCAAGAATCAAAGTTTTGTTTTTTTTCCCCATCAAACCCACTGAAACATCTTCGTTTACATGGAACCCGAAACAAATAATTGATTCAATATCAAAATTTCCATGTTTCAATATATTTTGGAATGTTTCGATGTGTTTTGGGATGTTCAGCCCAATATTTCGAGATGTTTCAGATGATATTTCTTCAAAATTTTTGTCCATTTGTTTTCATTTTCGAGCTAATGGAAACTATGCACCGAAATCAAATGATTTGTTGCATAGCTGGGTTGTTACATAATTTTCTGTGGAGATCTTAACAGAAGTAATTGAATGTGAGGAAATCAGANATATTTCTTCAAAATTTTTGTCCATTTGTTTTCATTTTCGAGCTAATGGAAACTATTTGTTGCATAGCTGGGTTGTTACATAATTTTCTGTGGAGATCTTAACAGAAGTAATTGAATGTGAGGAAATCAGAAAAAATGGGTGGGCCCTAGCTTTAACTAAACTTGGCCCTTAATACCAGAACTGAATTTGATTGTTGGATCAGAAAAATGCTGTTTGAGAAATGCCGAGAGAATACATTACTGATGAATGCTGACTTTGCACTGGGGGGGGGACTGTCATCTTTTATCACATGCACAAGATGTCCCTCTTCCCTTATTTAGCAGGTCCTACCTCATCCTCAATGGTGCACAAGTTGATGAACAAGGGTCGAGCCACTCCTGCTTTGATGGGGTCAGCTTACCCCACTGGAATTTTCATAGTAGTATAAATGCTTCCAATGATTTACAATTTTTAGGAGCCTTTTGTTAATTGACGTCCTGGAAGGCAATCAACATTAACATGCACTTTGGCATCAGGGCACCTATATTCTTGAAGCCATTAACATGTACTATGGCGTCAGGGCCCCTATTTCTCTCTCTCTCTCTCTCTCTCTCTCTCTCTCTCTCTTGTTTATTTTGGTGTTCTGGATGTTGACTTAGTACTCAATGTTTTATAAACTTCTTTTTTAGTTTCTTTTAGCTATTGGGTTGTTTGTTGCACTGGTAGTTTTACCCTTTTTTTCGTTAAATATGATTGTTTCTGTATGCTGTTAGTGATGCTGACATATTGTTTAATCTACATTGTTTGCTCAGTAGCTAGTAAATATCAATGGAAATTGTGTTCTTAATACGATTACCATTGGTTGTTTGTTACTGTCAATTTAACAAAGTATAAATGTATGACACTGCATTGCATGGAAGAATTTTTTTTTTGTTGGTAAATCTTATATACTAGAACTGCATTACATGGAAGATATTTGTCAGAAATCTTATATTATTGTAATTGTATCATTGGTTGTCGAATGACCCAAGTGAATAAAATTTTGGCTTACCTTATTGATATAGTGGTAGTTTTCTGCTACCACTATAAACCTTGCGCACCCGCCCGACATCTGTTATGCAGGTCAAGAAGCCATTCAATTGTACCCAAGTGTCCATATGCTGCCTCCCCCACCCCACCCCACTCCCCAAACCCACCCCCCAACAAAGAAGAAAAAAAAAGTTGGTCATCTTCCATTTGGTTTTACCCACCTTCTCGCAAAGTATCATTCTTTCAAGAACTCGACCAAACATGACACAACCATATTTTTTGTACTATGTCTGCTTTCTTCATGATAATAGGTTGTATTTTCTTTCCTATGTCATTTGGGCCTTAAGTTTATAGATTTGATTTTTCCTTCAATTGAATTGATATTAAACCACTTGGTTTTGCACTATTCTAGCACTAACTGTTAGTTTCATGCAGTGATGGAATGAATGGATATATGTATATTTCTGACAAACCTGTGTGTCTCCCGGAGATCTATTCACCAATGGTTGACATGGAGATGATAACAAAGAATGAAGTCCTGTATGTTTTCTGGTGCATGATTATTTTTTGCTTGAAACGTATGCTAAGTTAAAGTGGGTGGTCAGCCATTTTTTACTATTAAGTAACTATGGTGTGTCGGTCCTTTGTGTTCAGATCGGTTCTTTATAAATATCCTTCTTTTCATCCCCACATCACAAGACCACCAATAGGGGTGAAGATACCTAGGAAGGTATGTTACTGCCTATGTATTTCAGCGCTTTCAAGTTCAAGTATTTCTCTCTCAACCTGTATGTTTTACTTTTTGCCCAGTCTGTCAGCCAGCAAGACATCCTACCTCCACCTGTTTTGTGGCATGAGAAGTCGGCCAATATTGGATGCTTTTTGCCTGAAAGGTTAGTATTTCTGACGAACTATCTTGTTTCCCATTGCCAAAAGAGAGGATTGGATTATAGTAGTTGGCAAAAAATGTTTCTGTGGGATCTCCCCTTAGTGGACGAGAAAGAGAGGATTTCTTGGAGCTGCTAGCCACCAGTCTAAGAGTGAAAACATGAGCCAAAGATCAGGCCTCCGCCTCTGTTTTATCAGTTGGCTTGCATAATAGAAATAGCATTGAGTGAAACTGTTATGATTAGTATTGGATTGTTGAGGACATGATGTCAGTTCAATACTCCAATGTCTCGGCATATATCTTGGGTACTGGAATCCTGTCTCAAAAGGGACTCTAGTTTTATATTTAATAGGTAGCCTTATAAGCCAAGTTCATTGGGCATTTGATCCAGGTTTTATGGCCCAAGTTCAAAGTTTTATATATGACTTCACATCATCTATGTTTTGTTCTTTTGAGGACCATCTTCTGCATTTGTTCTCAATGTTCTTTTCTACTCTTGCTGAACCCTCTTCCAGGCCCATCCCAAAGTCAATCTCGGGACGCCCTCTGGCAAAATTGGCTCATCGGCTAGTGTCTGAATATTATATTGCAAAGCAGCAAGAAAGCACAAATGGAGGCTGTGAATATTACATCGATGAGCCTAGGAAACGAGCTAGAATATGTAGGAGTCAAAGCCTTCTGTTAGCTGATTTTGGGTCGGACATCATGTTCATCTTTTCCTCCCCCCTGGGGGGTCCTTTTCTTTCACCTCCTTTTTATCTACTACTTTATTATTGATAAAATTGTTTGTTTCCTGTAGGAGAAACCTTGGAAAACGGAAATGGGGAAAAAGTTGGGATGGCCCAGATAACACGATGAAGCAACAGAAGAGTCGCATAGGTGGCAAACGTAGAATTAAAAGGAGGAAAAAAAATGGTGGCCAAAATAAAAAAGCGTAGTGTCGCAGGTTCAGGTTTCTGTATGTTTAGATTTCTCAAGAGTATTTGTAGGTTTTGTCCAATTTTGGGCCCTATTTTTTAGGTGCAGTGATTGTTGCGTCTTATTTTTTCTATTTTGAATGAGTTGTTTGTACTTCCCATTGTTCACATGGGATGTAGAGCAGTGGAATTCAAGAGATGAGAAAGTATCAACTAAATTAAGAAGATTTACAGTAGTCCAACTGGCGGATTTGGCGTGGTCGGATATATCTTAGTTGGTCTACTTTTAAGAAAAATTTCTTCGCAGGAAGCTGATTGTTGTATGATACAGTTCTTATTTCGAATCATGGTTTTGTTATGAGACGCATGACTTCTAATTCTTTGAAACTGACAAGACAAAGGTGCCAAATATGTTGTACTTTAGAATATGAACTGATTAATTTATTTACTTTTATATGGGTAGAATAAATAATTGTGTTTTTTTATCTTTCTACTTCTTATGTTAAAAGGACAAAATAATTTTAAATGACATGCCTGTCACATCAGCAAAGGAGTTTTGGAAGGTCATTCACTGTGATATAAAAACTAGAGTTAATTCAAAGGACAGAGTGCACATTCGTATATGCAAATGAGCTCTCTCTAGCCTTAACGAACGTAGTAAAATTCTAGACAGTTTGGTATTCTATTACAGCTGTGGTTCTCAAAGTTTGTATTTCTTCTCATTTTAATGTTACAATTATATCGGTCTTTGATGTATTGAATTTATTTTTAAGTGGCTCCCATGTATAACACTGTTTAAATTTTTAACGGTTTTTATTCATGTACTCCCAAATGAAGGGTATTTTACCCTGAAGATTACTTTAACTCCAGAGCTAGTACTGGTATTTTGTTCCTCTGAACCTCAAGGTAACAATTCTTTTATTGAACCATTTCTCCTTAGAGTTAATGTCAAGGTGCTTCTCAACCTCTCCTCCACTTTCCAATGGTTTGCTGCAACGGCGTCAGGCTTATAGCTTTTCCAGGAAAAAGGCATAGGCATGAGTTGACATATTTAGTGTATCATGCCATAGGATTCCAGGAAAGACATAGCATTTATAATTATATACCAAGTATATCAATGCTAGACTCCGTTAAACACCATATTCAATTCTTATTTCCTGTCCATATGAATCAAACTCAGATACTACCACCTCCAAAGATAAATAAGCAGAACAATAGTGGGAAAAAAAATTTAAAATTATAGAGCTGTTATGGCCTTTAATTAACTACCTGTTGCAATTATATGGAACGATTGCCGCTTAACTTGATATTGAGAATAAACTGTGTTATTACAAGATACACAAGTGGTGGAAGCTCTACTTTTAATTCTCCCTGATTTGGAACTAGGGTATTCATTAAGAAGTTTATCACTATACTTAAACGGTTAGGAGTATTCAAGTCAAATTACGCAGATATCAACTTATTTTTTTCTCAGTTTGGTCAAAGATAGGTCATACACATCGGGACTAAGATATTCATTAATA